TTCATAGCCTACCAATTGAATTACTACATGTTTATGGATACATGCATCCCTTCCACAGTGAGGCAGCCACAGTACTGACTGACAATGTTTGACAATAATAAATTATGAAATAAAACTACATCAATAACAAGTGTTTTGCTACCTAAAATTTCAGGCTGAAAAATATGGAATATCGGACTACATTCATACAAATAAAAAGGAATACAATGACCAAACAATACACATCTGTGTGTGGCTTATTTGTGTACATTCATGATGAACAATGAACTGTTGCAGTGTGTCATTATGTAATGACAAGAACTGATGAAGTACAATTAAAATAAGCAAACAGCATAATTCTTAACTGCATTAGAACAGACCAGTGCATGAATCTCTTCTATATACAATAGTATAAAAAAATATGACCTATAAATAATGTTGTTAGCTAAATGAATACAATGTCACATTAGTTGCATCTGTGTCCATTTACCTAGCATTTTGTCTGTAATTCTACCATTATGTAAAATGTAGACAACTTTGTTAAAAATATGTACATCTTGTGAAAATTATTTTTGTGTGGATACTATTGACAAATCACCATTAAATGCCATCACCTAGCATATGAAACTTGCAATATTCAAAAAAAAAAATGCTCACCTCTAAAAAATTTTAGTCCTTGGTCATTATAAATTTCCAGTATTCAAACCTAAGTTATTATGAACTCAGATAAAGTTGTTATAAACAACTGTCAATGAATAAACAAATGGATGGACGAGGGGCTTGAAACACAGTCCATAAATTGACGGGAGAGCATCCGACTATAAATTTATGGACTGCGTTTCAAGCCCCTCGTCCATCTTTCTGTTTATTCATAGGTCATAATCATCAATATGTGAGATAGCACTCATCTCCTGAACTCTCAGTGTAAGACAGTCAACAGTTAATACAATATTTGAAGTGGAAACTGTCTCATTGCTTTAAACTATATTGTTACTTAATCCTCTGACTGTCTCCCATGTAGATCTACATTATTAATGCTGGTGTTGCTCAGTTGAATCTACATTTTAAGCACAGCATCCTCAAATATGCTGTGAGCAGTAAATTTTGGCATAGACATGAGAGAATGGGTCTGTGCAGTGGGTATGCACAGTACAGTATAAAAGAATCTACTACATGCAGTGAATGATGGGAAAAGCAAACCTTTGACCTCGAGTCTGGTTTAAAGTTGTGACTCTGAGGTGTTTTCTTCGGTAATTCTTATGATTGTATTGGCTGTTTTGTGATATCAATTGATAGAATGGAAGACATTCTAGTGAACTAGAGATGATTTTAGTCAGTTTCAGACCAGAAGTAGCCTGAAACAGGCCTCAAAATGGCAGACATATTTGATTTTTGGTGATTTTCCTAATGAAGGTAGGAGAACCCCCAGTCTGTTTTAGAGGGTTTTATTAGGTCTGCTTCAATTATTGGGACAGCCTCAACCATGACCAATCATTTTTGATTATACAGTGGACCCTCGCCTAACGAACGCATCGCATAACGTTAAATTCGCCTAACGATACATTTTAACGCTAACATTTTGCCTCGGCTAACGTTAAAAAACGCGCCTAACGATATTCGTTCTTAGGTACCAATTAATATCGTTAGGTGAGGGTCCACTGTATTTTATTAAATGGAGTAACAAGGTATAACTTTGATTTTTTGTATGATGATGGATTCAAAATGGAGGACAAATGTTATATAGGAGAGGCTACTGGACACGATTAATGAAGAGAAGAAAGGTTGCTTTAACATTTTTGGTGCCGGTCCTGTTATATCATGGCTTTGAAGCCAGTGTAAGTCCCGTAGTACAATGCCATGAACTCAGCTCACTCAGGTAAGCTGTGAGTGGTAAATCTGGGCCTAGATATGAGAGAATGGGTCTATACAGTAAGTGTGCATCACATAAAAAAAATTTTGGTTTAAAACAGCAATTTTGCATTGTATTTCCAGATGGTTTATATGGTTGTATTCTTGGTTTCTTGGTCTCATTTAATAGAATGGAAGATATATTACAGAAATAGAGATGATTTTGATTAGTTTCAGGACTGAAAGTAACTTGAAACTGAGCTCAGAGTAGAGGAAGTGTTCAATTTTTTCCAAATATTCCAGAGTACACGTCCAACTGGCCAGTCTAATATACATTTAGGAGTGCAATGACATTATTTATACATTTATTACAATAATGCAGTAGTCTGCATAACAGTAAATCTTTTATTTTTGTGTGAATAAAAATTCAAAATGAAAAGCAAGTGTAATATCAGAGGAGCCTGGAGATGTGACTAAGGAACAGAGGAAATGTTTATTTAGTGCCAGGAATGTTTACACTGTTTATTCTGGACCCTATTTCCAAATTGGCAACTATTGAATTTTGTATGAAATTGGCCAAATCATCAATTTCTGATCACTATATTGGATAGATGAAATAGGTACATGGGTAGTTTCTTGTGTTCAGTCAATAGAATAGAAGAAATACTAGCAAAATAGCTATGAGTTTGGCAGACTGGAACAATGGAACTGGACAAAAATAGTGTGCAAAGTGGGTGAAATAGCTGGCGTGTAAATATCTCCTAGACTGCTAACTTTATGAGAGCATAATTTCGCAAGTTTTCCATCAAATTTCAGACTTTGGGTTTCATTACCTTCAAAAAAAATTCTCTATAATTTCATGAGATCATTTTTTTTTTAATTTTTCGACCCTGAGAGCAAGTTTGAGAGCAGGGGTCGTGACACTTAAAGGGTTAATGACTGGAATGCCTGTAGTGTTAATTCTGGACTCTATTTTTAAACTAGAATGTGTTGAATTCTGTGTAAAATTGGCCAAATTACCGACTTCTGTGCACTCTATACGTTAGTTCTGATTGAATGACCAGTTTCTTGCACTCAACTAATTGAATGGAAGGCATAAGAGTGAAACAGCTAGAAATTGGATCAAGGTGAACAATGGATTTGGCTTAAAATAGGACACTGGCAATTTAGGTATTGGCAAAATTGTTAATGCCTAAATTGCATCGAGACTGCCAACTATGCACCTGCATAGTTTCCTAAGCTTCCCATAAAATTTCACACATTTGGTGTCATTACCCTCAGCCAAAGATTTTCTACCATTTCATAATATACAATATTTTTTAAAAACTCACGACATTGTCAGTAATTTTAAATTCAGGGGTTGTAACAGTCAAGGATTAAATGCTAGTAGGTTGAATGTTACTGACAGATGTGAGAGCTGTTAGTAATATTTTTACATATCAAATTAATTTCATTTTCATATATGGCAACCTCTCCATGGGAAAGTGGAAAAGAATTCTTCCTCTGTCAGCCATGTGTGTCGTAAGAGGCAACTAAAATGCTGGGAGCAAGGGGCTAGTAACCATTTCTCATAAGAACATAAGAAAGGAGGAACACTGCAGCAGGCCTGTTGGCCCATACTAAATTTAAAAAGAATAACTTTCATTTTTCTTTTTGGGCCACATTGCCTCGGTGGGATACGACCAGTTTGTTGAAAGAAGTAGTAAAATATGAAATATGAAAATGCAAAGAAACTGTAAATGATCTCTTGTACCTGTAAGAGAGAATTTACTTGATTGGCATAATGTAAGAATCTAGAGTTTGCTTATTTTTTCTGTTTTACACTGCTGAATTACGAGGCTAAGAGTTGTTATCCTACCTCAGCCCATTTCAAAGCAGAGCTCTATCTAAAGTGAACTCTAACCACCCAGGATGTCACCTACAACATTTAGCTAGCACTCACATCTGACAGTAAAGACTCACGTGCAGAGAAGAACGTTATCGAGACATTTGCCTGCAGGCGGGTGAAACGCCTCTCCACAGGCAAAACAACTCAAAAAGTTCCTCTCTGTAACAGTGTCATTTTTGTTGGGTTTAATATGGGAGAAGAGTGAGGTGGCACTAACACTAATAGGTGAGCCTGTTATCTTGTATTAGCAAACAAAAATGGAGCCCAGCCCTTCCACACATCTGCCATGAATGCCTGCCTTGAATAAACTGACTCGGCCCATGGACAGCCAGGCAGTGTTCAAATGGGAGTCACATGACTCTAGTGTGATGAACAAGGACCCACAAGGGATGACACTTATAAATGAATACATATTAATGACATTTTTCACCACTTGTCAGCTTGGTGCCATTTGTCTCCACCTATGTATCACTTCACTGCTTAAGTGAACAGGGGCAACAGATTACGTACAAGAAACAGGTCCAATGTTTCCACCAGCCCCAAGATTAAACCACTGAATTTATGAGAATTAGGACAGGTTTCTCAAATGTATGCCAGGACTCCTTTTAAGTGGTATGCAGGGTCTAGCTTGCCTTAAATGTTTTGCATACTGTGGGGTTTTCTTAAAATATGCAAAAAGAGGTACATTCTCAAAACTAACCAATCTGAATACGCAAATAACTCAGACACAGGAGAAAGAAACTTACGTGTGTGACATCAGCACACCCATCAGCTGGCCTGTGTCAGAAAGAGTGTATTCACCACAGAGAGTGTTCACCACCGCTCACTGAGCCTGACAGCCTCAAAAAGAGTGTATTCGCCACTGAGCATGTTCACCACTGCTTGAGAGTCCACTAAGTTCACCTGATGGCCTCAGGCAGAGACAGAGTATTCACCAGGTGTGTTCACCTGGTGAATACAACTTGGATCATAAATTAGTCACACACTAACACATGAAAGTAAGGGAGCCAGTATATATATGAGAGGGGGGCAGGGACCAGACAGAGGGAGGAGGAGGAGGAAAGACGGAAGTGGAGATAATAGTGGTAGAGGCTATTTGTGTATTGTTCCAGTCATGGTATTGTGCCTTTTTTGTTCTTTAACTCACCTGAAACCTAGCAAACTGCAAACCCCTTCATTGTAACTTCAATGCATATTCTACAGAAAAGAGTTTTAATTTTAAATTTCAAATCCGAATTTATTATTGTTACACTGACAATTCCATTCCATTACAAAGAGCACCTACCCGTAAATAGTTGAGAAGGTAAAACTTGTCATAAATCTTGTTTTTTGGGTTAAGAGAACGGTGCTGTTGTTTACGCATGTGGGTCCTCAACAACTGATGAGTCTTAAATGTTTTTTCACAAAACAAACACTGTATCCTGAAAATTGATAACAAGCAATACAGTCTTAAAATATGTAACAAGAGAATACACAGTACAACAAAACTGCAGATGTGAAAATCAGCACAAAATGAAGCCAATTGTTTGATAAATATAAATTATATATTAGGCTAATTACTGACAGAAGTATAAGAAAGTCTATTCCCAACCCCTTCACCATTTTATACATTTGACCAAAGTAACATCTAATTCCATAAAAAGGCTCAAATGCATGGTAAAAGTTATGTCCAATCAACATCCAGATTTTTTGGGCTTCCTAAGTCATGTGTTTCAACTGTCCGATATTTTTACTTAAGTGCTTCCTGTGAACAGCTTCAATTATTCATAGATTTTTTGAGATGCTTATTTTTTGGGGGGCCTAGGGACACAACCCATAAGAGACCAACCACAAGATTCCATTCAAAATAAACTCAATGGATTCCTAATGCCTAAATAATTTTCTCTTTGGTCATTTGTTTTTGCAAATGTTATTGTCACTAAATTGGACCAGTAATTAATGAGACAGGAGCCTCTGAAACATACAAAAAATTGAAAAATCAATTAAATGGAGATACTGTATTGTAATTTTGCATTATTTGGCGATGATTAATTTACAGAACCTCTAGCAATGTAACTGACAATTTTGGGATTGACTATTATCACACATTCGTGAGTGCAGATATGCTCAAAAATACTAAGGTGCTTTCTCATTAGCACTCAATTTCAATAGAGTAATGTAAAATAAACTTTTATCATTATGAAACAGAATAATAATTAAACACGGGACCAGGGAGTATATCTGCCATAGATCATGACTGAAATGTTGTACTTAAGTCCTAATCGTGCAGTAGTAACTGGTCATTGTGGGACTGTGATTTCAGGTGTAGAAAACTGAAAGGGGACATTTTAAGGATGGGTATTAGGATTAAAGCCAAGACTTAAGAACTGGTTACAGAGAGCACACAAACACCAAAGTGGAGGAGCACTGCATGGGAACTACTGCCCCATGCTAAGCATGACCTTCTCAAACCCAACCCTCCTCACTCAGGATTTTAGCTTCAATGACTACTTGGCATATTGTGTCACTCATATAACACTATTGCTAAACCATTAATTTCCTATATTATGATGGAGGGAATATTTTGAGGAATTGTTAAATGTTGATGAAGATAGGGAAGCTGTGATTTCGTGTATAGGGCAAGGAGGAATAACATCTTGTAGGAGTGAGGAAGAGCCAGTTGTGAGTGGGGGGGAAGTTCGTGAGGCAGTAGGTAAAATGAAAGGGGGTAAGGCAGCCGGGATTGATGGGATAAAGATAGAAATGTTAAAAGCAGGTGGGGATATAGTTTTGGAGTGGTTGGTGCAATTATTAATAAATGTATGGAAGAGGGTAAGGTACCTAGGGATTGGCAGAGAGCATGCATAATTCCTTTGTATAAAGGCAAAGGGGATAAAAGAGAGTGCAAAAATTATAGGGGGATAAGTCTGTTGAGTGTACCTGGTAAAGTGTATGGTAGAGTTATAATTGAAAGAATTAAGAGTAAGACGGAGAATAGGATAGCAGATGAACAAGGAGGCTTTAGGAAAGGTAGGGGGTGTGTGGACCAGGTGTTTACAGTGAAACATATAAGTGAACAGTAATTTAGATAAGGCTAAAGAGGTCTTTGTGGCATTTATGGATTTGGAAAAGGCGTATGACAGGGTGGATAGGGGGGGCAATGTGGCAGATGTTGCAAGTGTATGGTGTAGGAGGTAGTTACTGAAAGCAGTGAAGAGTTTTTACGAGGATAGTGAGGCTCAAGTTAGAGTATGTAGGAAAGAGGGAAATTTTTTCCCAGTAAAAGTAGGCCTTAGACAAGGATGTGTGATGTCACCGTGGTTGTTTAATATATTTATAGATGGGGTTGTAAGAGAAGTAAATGCGAGGTCTTGGCAAGAGGCGTGGAGTTAAAAGATAAAGAATCACACACAAAGTGGGAGTTGTCACAGCTGCTCTTTGCTGATGACACTGTGCTCTTGGAGATTCTGAAGAGAAGTTGCAGAGATTGGTGGATGAATTTGGTAGGGTGTGCAAAGAAGAAAATTAAAGGTGAATACAGGAAAGAGTAAGGTTATGAGGATAACAAAAGATTAGGTGATGAAAGATTGAATATCAGATTGGAGGGAGAGAGTATGGAGGAGGTGAACGTATTCAGATATTTGGGAGTGGACGTGTCAGCGGATGGGTCTATGAAAGATGAGGTGAATCATAGAATTGATGAGGGAAAAAGAAGTGAGTGGTGCACTTAGGAGTCTGTGGAGACAAAGAACTTTGTCCTTGGAGGCAAAGAGGGGAATGTATGAGAGTATAGTTTTACCAACGCTCTTATATGGGTGTGAAGCGTGGGTGATGAATGTTGCAGCGAGAAGGCTGGAGGCAGTGGAGATGTCATGTCTGAGGGCAATGTGTGGTGTGAATATAATACAGAGAATTTGTAGTTTGGAAGTTAGGAGGAGGTGCGGGATTACCAAAACTGTTGTCCAGAGGGCTGAGGAAGGGTTGTTGAGGTGGTTCGGACATGTAGAGAGAATGGAGCGAAACAGAATGACTTCAAGAGTGTATCAGTCTGTAGTGGAAGGAAGGCGGGGTAGGGGTCGGCCTAGGAAAGGTTGGAGGGAGGGGGTAAAGGAGGTTTTGTGTGCGAGGGGCTTGGACTTCCAGGAGGCATGCATGAGCGTGTTTGATAGGAGTGAATGGAGACAAATGGTTTTTAATACTTGATGTGCTGTTGGAGTGTGAGCAAAGTAACATTTATGAAGGGATTCAGGGAAACTGGCAGGCCGGACTTGAGTCCTGGAGATGGGAAGTACAGTGCCTGCACTCTGAAGGAGGGGTGTTGGTGTTGCAGTTTAAAAACTGTAGTGTAAAGCACCCTTCTGGCAAGACAGTGATGGAGTGAATGATGGTGAAAGTTTTTCTTTTTCGGGCCACCCTGCCTTGGTGGGAATCGGCCAGTGTGATAATAAAAGTAATATTATGACTAAGTCTCAATTTGCACAATTTTATTTATTATTTTGAGTTCTTGGTTAGATATCCTCAACCTCTCCTTTATTTGTACTGTACCTGTCTTCTGCTTGCATCCTTTAATCATATTTCTCCTCATTTTACATCTTTCTGGAGAGTGCAGGTTCAGGGCTGTAAATCTATCTTCATATGAATGATTCTTTATACAGTGGAGTAATTTCGTCAAGTAAAAGGACACAAGTGTAACTAATGTGACATTTTATTGTGTCAACGTTTCACTCTCCAGGAGCTTTTTCAAGCTGTTACAGCTGGACAAAGCTCCTGGAGAGCAAAACATTGCCACAATAAAATGTTGCATTAGTTGCACTTGTGTCCTTTTACTTAACCCTTTGACTGTCGCAGCCGTATATATACATTTGCGAGGTACCATGTTTGACGTATACATACTCATAAATTCTAGCGGTTTCAAATCAGGCAGGAGAAAGCTGGTAGGCCCACATGTGAGAGAATGGGTCTGTGTGGTCAGTGTGCCCCATGTAAAAAAAATCCTGGAGCACGCAGTGCATAATGAGAAAAAAAAACTCCGACCGTTTTTTTTAATTAAAATGCCGACTTTGTGGTCTATTTTCGTATAGTATTTGTGGTTGTATTCTCGTTTTCATGGTCTCATTTGATAGAATGGAAACGATATTATAGAATTAGAGGTGATTTTGATTAATTTTACTATAAAAAAAACCTGGAAATGGGGCACAAAGTACGGGAAATGTTTGATTTTTGCCGATGTTCAAAAGTAAACAAATGATGTCATTGTCCAATAAATGTCCAAATAGCCATTCTAATATGCAGTCATGAATGTGTTGACATTATTTATACAATTATTACAATATTGCAGTAGTCTGCATAACAATAAATCTTCTATTTTTTGTTTGAATAAAATTTCAAAATAAAAAGCAAGAGTAATATCACAGGGGCCTGGAGACGTGACTGATGAACAAAGAAAATGTTATTTTAGAGCCAGGAATGTCTGCATTGTTCATTCTGGTCCTTATTTTGAAATTGTCATATTTTTTAATTTTCGTGAAATTGGCCAAATTGCAAATTTCTGACCATGTTATTGGGTAGTTGAAATCGGTAAATGGGCAGTTTCTTGTACTCAATCGATGGAAAAAATGGAGTTCTGAAGAAATAGCTATGAGTTTGGTTGACTGGAATAATGGAATTAGCTGAAAATAGGGCTCAAAGCGGGCGAAATCGCCGATTTGTAAATATCGCCGAGGTCGCTAACTTCGCGAGAGCGTAATTCCGTCAGTTTTCCATCAAATTTCGTTTTGGTGTCTTTACAATCGGGAAAAGATTCTCTATCATTTCATAAGAAAAAATAATATTTTTTTTTTTTTAAATTTTGCGACACCAGGAGACACCTCAGGATTGGGGGTTGCGACAGTCAAAGGGTTAACATACTGTAAGAAATTCTAGCAACATTAATGGAATAATTTTGTCATCCGTCTCAGTAAGTTCTCCAGTGTACAGATGTCCATTCTATAGTCTAGAGAGCAGAACTGTGTCATGAATTCTGAGCAAGGCCTTACTAGTGATGAATGACATAGGGTAAATAAAGCATGAGTAAATTTTACGTATACAGTGGACCCTCGAGTTTCGTAAGCCTCAAGCTTCGTAAATTTCGACTTTCGTAACGTTTTCTTGTCAAAACATAGCCTCGCGGTTCATAGTTTGGCTTGCCATTTGTCACTCATCCGGAACACGTATGAGTGGCCTCCCAGCATCTGCACCACACAAAGGCGCCCGACACACCACTAACAGTCAGTGCGGCATTGTTTATTGGCGAGTGAACATCACTGAACGCGTCCATACGATACATTTCATAATATTCCATTCTTTCTTGTGCTTGCAACTTCTAAATAAACCACCATGGGCTCGAAGAAAGCTTCTAGTGCCAGCCCTTTGGTAGAGAATGTGAGAAACATCATAGAATTCAAGAAATATATCATTGCAAAATATGAAAGTGGTATGTGTGTGGCTCATCTTGCCAGGATGTATGGGA